TCACTGGGTGAGGAGCAGGGGGGACTTGCAGCAGGACTTGTCTGGGTTGGAGTCACTTTCCAGTGGTCATATGAATGGATGTGTATGTGTGAGACACACATTCTGTTGAGCAATCTGATGAAAATCAGTTCTTGATTTCCTAGGTGTTAAAATTAAGAATAGAATTCTTTTACTATCAGTAAACATGATTATCGGCAAAGGAGCCATCAGACCAACTCCCCATACCTCTGACTTTGCAGGGTGCAAATAGTTAACTAAGTGCTGATTTGCCTCTCTTGTCACTTCCCGCCCTCTCAAATTTGGCCCAGGTCCATGTTCTTTTGTCCATGTTCTCTTGACTTTCAACTCACTCTTGTTTACTCCTGGGCTTGTGTACACAGTGCTGGGAAACAGAGACCGCTGAAGCAAGTTTTAGGGCTTCATTATCTGGGTTGTTGGAAACGCTGTAAAGCGCTCCCTGCACTTCAGATGCCTGGGACTCTGCATGTGCAACCCCCATCCAGCTCACTTTCTACCAGCCTTCAAAGAAGCATGGAGTGAATTCAAACATTGGTGTGTTTGATCAGAGACAATGGCCAGCACTAAAAGTTGATCATGTGCATTTCATGCCCTTGCCCTAGAGAATGTTACTCATTTTCTGCTCCTGTGAAAGGGCACGTAAGCTATGGCAGTGGTGTGTGGGCTGGAGGAGGCAGGCTTGGTTAGAGTTTACTGTTTTTCCTTCTCAGAACTAGTCAGTGGCGGAGGAAAGTTACATGTTAGATGGGAATTTTGTGGGCGGCAGTGTGAGCAGACTTCACTGTGAGAAGCAGCTAGTGCTGATCTGGGTTTCTGAAATCAAGCCAAAGCCACTCTGAAATTGGACTCCTCATCCGGAGAGGGGATCAGGTATCACAGCCCTGCCAGCTCCTCAGCCTTGAAGCCTTAGGCTTCTTCTACATGAATGATCCATGCAGAGGTAGGGGCCTCCTGTGCATCTTGGCACGTCTAGTGTGCTAATCCTTGTAGTACCTAAACATTAACTTCCCCTGCGTGGATCCTACTGAAGCAGCATGTGAAGGTAAAGGCAGAGTGCATGCATACCTGCACACGCTCTGGCTGGCAGCTAAGAAGTAAACCTCTTTTTGCTAGGCAGGGAAAGCTCCTGCCCTTTCTCCTTCCTTCTATTCCCCTCCCCCAATGATGTTTGTTAATCTTACTTGGCACTCACGTCACTGTGTGAGTAAAAGCTGCTTAACATCCAGAAGAAATCCTGGAACTGGACTTTGGCAGAAGCAACATCCTTCTGTAGTTAAAGGATTCTATTTGCTAAAGCATATTGGCAGTAAGGCTTGACTTCAGCTGCCAGAAGTAGGTGAGGCTGTGCAGTCGTTTAGTCATTCTCTCATCATAAGGGTGGCTGAACTTAGTTCCAGCACAGTAATAGCAGGTGGCAGAACAACTGGCCACAAGCCATTTCGATCCAATGCCAGCCTCCAGCTGGTGACTGCCGAAAGTGTTAGGCCGAATGTGGCTGTGGGGGACATTCGGCAAGTGCCAGATGCTTTTGAAAAGGGGAAGTGGTTCTCAACCTGTTTACCAATGTGTTGTGTGCTGCATCCAGTACTACCCATATGGCCCTGAGGATGTCCTATGGGCCACAGGTTGAGAACCACTGGGTTATTAACTCTGTACCCCCATGGGCTGCAAATTCCCATTTGGGAGAGAGTCTGAATACCTGGAAACTGCCTCCTAGGGCAGCCTGTAGAATATATATATGGGGAAGCAGGGAGACTTTCCTCCAGCTTTAGAAATGCAATGTCCCTATTAGACAATGTTAAAAGAAACAGTAACATTGCACTAAGCCTCTCCCTGAGCCCACAAACCATTGGGGTCTCTCTGAACTGCTCCTGTGTGCCCTTTGCAGGTGTGTATGTGAGGAATGTCACTGTTCCAGATCCACCCTGCAAAGAGCACAGACACTTCACTGTTAACTCTTTCCATTCAGAGTCCTCTGCAAGGTGGGATTTGCACCTAGCTCCAGGGAGGTGCCTGCTTGTTGTGGGTATGTTTTGAGTTTGTGTAGGGAGAAACCTGGAATGAACTTCACCACATTTACCCACACAGGAAGGAAGTGAGATGCCCAACAGCACCCCAGGACCTCAAATAATCTCAACTCCAAGCCCCTAAGAATACTCAATTAATCTTCTATGGGTAAATGTGTAGAAGTGTAGGTCCCTCTGCTACTGCTCACCTCCCCCAGTATAGCTGTCTGGATGTTTTCCAGGAAGTTACTGTAGATGGAGCATGAGCTTCCCACTTGCATTCTCCTGGGCCCAGGGCCAAATGAGCAACGGCATAAAACACTCCATAGAATCTTATTGACTGCTGTGAGTCAGTAACTTCGTTAGTATTGGACCTCACTCACTTGTACACACAGACAGTGTGTATTTTGATGAATAAGTTCCTGTGATATCTGAACTTGGTGCATTCCAAAGTACCCACTAATCACAAATGTCTACCATTCTTACTCATTGTTGGCTTGATCTAATAAGGCAGGTTACTCAGTCGCTTCAGACTCTCTGATCCAGCCTAGTTATCGCTTGAGCCTCCCTTGTTAGGCGTTTGCTTTCTGTCTGCCTGATGGCTCTGATTCACCAGTTGTGAGTACAGTCTGGGTGAGCTGACACAAAGATGTAACCTAGCACACCTGCCAATATTTTGCATGCTCTGCAAGGGAAAACCTCCTCCACCTATTGCCATTGTACTACATGAAAGCTAGTTGGTAAGACAACTCCCACCTGTTCATGCTCTCTGTATGTGCGTGTGTATATATATCTCCTCAATATTTATTCCACTCTATATGCATCCGAAGAAGTGGGCTGTAGTCCACGAAAGCTTATGCTATAATAAATTTATTAGTCTCTAAGGTGCCACAAGTACTCCTGTTCTATTATCTGGGGGGACACCCTGACTTACTGAATAGTGGCCAATGGGAATCAAACCCTTTCTGTATCTTAATAAAACATCCGCAGTCTGGGATGAGAAGCAGCTTCATCATTCCAGCTGTGGCCTGTGCTGAAGTACCATTTTAGGGAGCCCTGGTGTCTTGGCTAGCTTCAGATGCCTCCTTTCTAACTAAGGTTGGCATAAAAGTTGTCCTATAAATGACCAGTGATGCTGGGAATGTTTGTTCCAGGCTGTATTTCTAGCAGTCTTAGTTGGGGCATAATGGGAGATGAGGAGTCTGGCAGCATCAGACTCTTCTTGGTTTTTCAGGATGCTCAGTTGAGCGTTCTGGTCCCTTTTGACTCTGAAGAGGTGGAATGAACCAGAGCTGCCTGAAAAGCTATTGCATCACTGTTCTAGCCTCTGGAATTCAGGATATGAAGAGAAGCTTCTCATACCCTGACTGCAGAGCCTGGTGGCTGGGGCAACCCCAGTATCTACAGATGTGGAAGTGGATTGTTGGTGTGAGGGGAAAAGACCACTTGTATCTGGCACTGTAATAAAGCTTTTATGGATATACCTATACTACAGTTTTTAGCTCTGCAGCCTGTGCCCCACAAGTTGAGCAGGGCTAGCTGCAGCCATGCCGCAGGTCTCTTATTGCAGTGGGACCATGCCTGGGGCAAGGCAGCAGACAGGCTGCTTTCTGACCCCCCTCCCCCCCCTCACTCTGCCTTGAAGCACTGAGAGTACTTAACACTGATGATGAAATGGTTCCAGTAGCTACCAGATAAGGCAGCATTCCATCTGGAGGAAGGGAGGGTGAGCTGCTTTGGTGGAGAACCAACATTTTGTGTTCCCCTCCCCACCCCCCAGTCTCCACTTCCCCCCCTCTCCATTTAACCCTGCATCTCCATGCTTGTAACAAGTGGCGCCCCTAGCCACACTAGTGCTCCCAGTATTTCTATCACTAGTGGAGCAGAACTGGTGATAGCAATGGGAATCATTAGCAAAATAAGGCTAGTGAAACGAGGGGTGGTGGCAGCAGCTGTCCGTTCAGTTTGCATTGTACTTCCAACTGTAAGGAAAGGGTTAAATTCCTTAACAAGCAAATGACTTAATGGCTGTGGAATTGTGAATTGCTGCTGGAATTCCACAGCAAATGCTGGATTCTGCCAATTTGGAAGTGTGGACAGTCCATGATCTCAGTTGTGGAATTCTCTCCTGGACTGGCCCTAAAGGGTCACTAGAATTGTACAGAATAGTTATGGGAACTTGTATAATCTTGGTCTAAATCTTCTACCTTCACCCCCTATGCCCTGCAGACTGGCTTCAATGTGCTGCTGCTACCACGCTAATGCACATATGTCTGTTAGTCAGATCCCAGTATCATGGTTTTAGTTTCAGATGGGAACTGCTGAGCGATTTTGCTTTTGAATTGTGTTGTTGTTGAGGGGACACTTTATACAAATGAGTTCCTGTTTGTAATGCCTTTGATCTTGTCGTATTGTTCCCCAGAATATACAGATGTGAGGAGCAAACAAATTTCTGTTTTAACCTTTGTATGATAAAGTATCTGAATTGTAAATGAAATAATGATGCTATTAAACATACTGGCTTTGGGGTTTTAATGCTACAGGGAGTACCCAATCTAGCTCTTGACACAGGCTTGGAAAAGATTCTCTAGGTATAGGTCCCACTACTCCTCCTCCTGCCTGTCACACTAAACTTATTCCTCCCTTCTACCTCAAGGGGTTTTGCCATGAGCTCTTGCCCAGAAAGCTGTTTTCAGTAAATTCAGACCCTGGTCACTTCATGGGAACCTTCTGAACAGTCTTTCTGGAAATCCCCACCCTGGCTGATCTTTGTTCCTGGCCTCAGAGAACTAGGGGAATTCAGCTGTTTTCAAGCTAGTAAAGGTGGTGCTTTTAGCTGGACTGAATTGAACTTCACCAGTTAAATGGTGAAATATTACTGTGCTGGCTCAACTGATCTGGTTGCAGATGGCTGCTGGCAGCCTGAGAACTGTCTGGGTTTCTGCATAATGTCTAATGCTGGTTTTCCCTTCTCAGGTGAGAGAAACTGAGACCATGGACCCAGAGAGGTATGGAGAGGACTATTTCTCTTCTGGAGCCTTGCCAGATGATGAAGATATCAGTGACCTCAGGCCTGACTTGACCGAAGAGAGTGACTGGTTTTCTGGTTCTGGAGATGATGATGATGGTATGTAGGCAAGAAATAGTCTTTACATTGGAGTCTTCCTCTGAGTATTGCATCTTCATATCTCTGACCTGGAAAAACTACATAGTCCCCTGAGTCTCACAGGCTCTCTAATCCAGTGGCTCTCAAACTTTTTTTTTTTACTGGTGACCTCTTTCACATAGCAAGCCTGAGTGTGACGACCCCCCCCCCCTTATAATTAAAAACACTTTTTTATATAGTTAACACCATTATAAATGCTGGAGGTAAAACAGGGTTTGGGGTGGAGGTTGACAGCTTGCGACCCCCCCCCCATATAATTTCATGACCCCCTGAGGGGTCGTCCTCCTCTCCCTCCCCCCTCCCCCCAGTTTGGGGACCCCTGCTCTAATGGGACTTCCAATGGGCTACACAGTCTGTAAAGCTAAGCTTAGCAAGTCATTGAGAGGGATCAACAGAGCAGCCTAATCAAATACCTCCCATATGGAGGCTTCCTTGGGTGCAGTACACTGATAGGAATGGCAAAAGGGCACCGTGCCATGATGTGGGACTCCTTCTGTCTTCCCTCTCTATGGGGGCATCCAAGTAAGTCACCCCTGTAATGAGATTACATGCTATCTTCAATGGGTAGACAGACAATGCATTACTTAAATCCTTTCCCCCTCTTAATATGAAGGGGCTGTAAAGTTTAAATAGTTTTGTTAAATCTCATCTTCCTCCAGCCCCAATGTTTCTGAATCTTCCCACTTTGCCCCTAAAACCAGTGTAGTAGTGAAAGCTAGTTAAGTCAGTGTTTTCAGAGAACTCTTTATGGCTTTCAAAACTCCTAGCATAAACTAGTTTAAACAGCTCTTTGTTGCCCTTTTTATGTGCACATTGTGTTCTCAAAAGGTAAAGAACAAGCTCTGAAATTAGTACCGGGCATGTTCAGGCAGATCTGATGGTTAGTACCTTAGGGATGGGTGTTCAAAAGAGTGCCCTCCTGAAGCCAGCCTAGCACACAAGAGCATATTCGCTTTCTGAGCAAATCCTGGTACCCTGCAGCAAGAGCCACTTGATGGAACTGAAGATTTCTTCTCTGAACGAGGTAATCTTGAGCTTGCATCATGTGGCTTTGTGTAATCAAAATTCTATTTAACTGGTGAAAGTACTTACAGATAAGAGGGAACTTTAATCAAAGTAGAGCCCTAGTTAGACAATAGCAGCACTAGCAGCACACATATAGTGTGCGCCTGGGCTTTGGGAAAACACTCTGAAAGCAAAGGGAAACTAATTCTGTATTGTTTGCATGTTATTTAGATGCTGAAGATGACATGACTTCAACCACTGAAGAGAGTCCTATGGTAGGTGGTGGTGTTTGAGCACACTCAGAAAAACCTAGCCCAACAGCCCCTCTGTGTAGTATCTGGCCGGCCTGCCTGCCTGTGAAAGGCTCTTGTCACCTTAACCCACTCCTCCTCTTCCTCCCACACCCCCCCAAAGCAGCTGGCTTCCACGTCCAGTCCACTGAAATAAGGTGCTCACAATGCACTGAACTCTTAAATGACCTCACCTGTCCTGCCCCTCCTGTCTCTCCTGTTTTGAAGTGTTTTGTAGCTGCTCATGACAGGGTGTGGTTTGTCTCTGCTTTATTCAGCTCTCGAGTGACAACTATATCCCTGAAGATACTGGTAAGGGGACAAAGGATGTGGATGAAAACCTGGTGGTAGAGAATGAACTAACTCCACGTAAAGTCTTGCCCCCTGAGGAACTGAACCCGTCCAACAAGATTTCCATGGCCAGCACAGCTAACAGCAGCCTCTTTGAGAGAACAGAAGTTCTTGCAGGTAACTTCAGTCCCCGAAGTCTATTGACTCATTAGCCACACTGTAAATGTGGGAGGAAGGGGAAATGGGGATGCCAAAAATGGGGTTTGATTGTTCCCACTACTTTAGAGGGCAAGAATGCTGACCAAAAGCACACAACCCAACTGGCTTTGTTCTAGTAAGCTGGGAGGCACTGAGTATTAGGGAAGCTTCTGTCCTGCTTTAATCAGAAAAAACTTTTTTTATTCAACTCTGTTTTTTAATTATGGATAAACTGGGTGGAAAGTGACTTCTGGTCTCTAGATGCCATTTGGACTGAAAATGTCACTTTCAGCAAGATGGAAGCTGCCAGTAGAAAGCTCCAAAATGCTGGAACTCTAGGATAGATTTCATGGGTTTATGAGGCAGCTTCTCACAGGGTAGCAGTTTCCTCCTAAATGCTATATTCATTCCATACTCTCTTCCAGCTCTTATTGCAGGTGGGGCAGTGGGGCTGCTGTTTGCTGTCTTCCTGATCCTCCTGTTGGTTTATCGCATGAAGAAAAAGGATGAGGGGAGTTATGATCTTGGCAAAAAACCAATCTACAAGAAAGCCCCTACAAATGAATTCTACGCTTAAAGCCACCAGCACCTTGTGCCCCTCTGGGGAGAAAAACTGACTGTTAAAGCATTTGGACCTCAGCTGAGATGCTCCAAATCAATACTCTTGGATCTAATTTCAAAGTGATTTTTTAAAAAAATATTTCGGTGCGACCCTTCCATCCTGCTAAACTAACAAGGGCACAACAAAATGCAAAGCGTCTGGGGGGGAAACCTTGTCATGGCTATATTGGGGGGGGCAAGGGAAGGAGTGCAAAAGATTGCCAAATTCTGTATTTTTGGTTGAGTGGAGGGTGTATATAATGCAGCTTATATGGAAGCCAATTGTGTGTGTTTGCATCTGGTGTGCATCTCTCCAATTTGCCTTGTTTTGTAGAAGGTTTTTTATTCTATTTCCCCTGTAGTATTTGGCCTGCTGCAGGACCGCCACATGTAAAACATTTTCTAGAGAATATCTATGAATCTCTTACACTACACTGTACCATTGCCTTATCTGGGAGGAGCTGTGCCCTTGGGAGAAATAACTTTGTGGCCTAAATGGCTCTTAGGGAGAAGTTTCCTCTTCCTTTTTGGCCCTTGGTAGGGTCACAATCCACAAAAATCAGGAAAGCCTCTTGGCTTGCTTGACTCTGAGACTAACCTTTCCCTGTACCAAGTCTCTTACAGGTGGAGAAATATTACCTTTTAATGTAGGATTTTATAAAAAAAGTTAGTAGGAAAAATAGCCTAATGTTTTATGTTTTGTAGAAACGGTTCTGAAATTTAAAAAAATCTAGTGTTAAAAAAAAAAAATACCTAAATTTTTTTTTAATCCTTTTTAGTTTCCTTTGGCTGGGCATTTCTCTAGATGTGTATATATATATTGTGTTTTATACAATTCATATTCTGAACTGAAGCAGCATTGACTACAGTATGTTACAGGTTTCTCTTTCTATATAACAGCTACTGTATGCAATTGATATTTATGGGGATTTTCCATAATTTTTGGATTTGATTTTTATAGGATTATTTATGGTTCTTCTCATGTTTTGTTTTTATTTTTTTTTCATTTTTATATATAAAACACTAATATAATGAATCTCTTATGATTGTCAAAACTATTTAAGCTTTATTCTGTGAATTTTTTAATTATAAACTGAAGGCAATAACTTCTGCAAGAATTACTCTGTATGCAAAATTGGATTCTTAAAACATGATTAAAGTATATTGTAGGGAAAGATGGGGAATTTTTTAGCCTGTAATATATTGTAATCAGTCCTATAGAGCTATATATTTTATATATATATTTTTCCAGCAAAGTGTACAAATGTTAAGAATAAAAAGGCTAGAGATTTTTGGGCTTGTGCAGCCTTACTATGTGTAAGGGAGGGCGTATTGGTCTAGTTTATATGCTGCTCTTTGTGCAATGTCTTGTTTATGTTGAATGCAGTAATATTTTCCTTTTTTGTTCATAAACAGCTGGGGGTCAGGCTAATGGTTGCTGAACTAGCCAGGTCACTAACACTCCATGTGCCCTGAATGCAGTGGCCATCAGATTAACTTCCATGAATTAGAAACAGTTGCTGTGTTTGAAAATGTCAGCCTTGCTCCTTCATAGCCAGGTGATGGAGCGGAGATCCCTTGCCCCTCATTTCAAAGTGACACTTCTAATTTATGGGATGGGATGCAAACAAAAGTTGGAAGCTCACTGTGCAAAGGAAGTAACCTTTACCTTTTCTCTAGCAAAATTGCTGTTCAGTTTATAGGCTAAGCTATTTTTAAGAGTTTGAACTAATCTCCTTTATTCCCTTTTCCCTTCAGAAGGATGGCTTTCAGTATTTAGAATATTGTTTGTTCATGTCTCCTGCTAAGGTGGCTCTCTGGGAACACTGACTTCCTCAAGCCATTTGCAGTTAACTTTTTTTTTAAAGATGTTCTAGTGTATCATTTTAAGCAGATCCTACCTCTCAGAGTTGGTCCAGTTCCACAAAACATTTTTAGGACAGGCATGCATCTTCTACTCACTACAGGGTTTTCTGGCAGTCTTTGGCTAGTTCCAGAATTGGTGTATAAAACACCCACTTATCTTGGTCCTGTTGCATCAGTCTTATTTGCTAGATCTGAGTCGCTGCCTTTCCAGATAACAATGAAGATTACAACATAGACTGTAGGGTGGCTTTTTGTGTATGTGGGGAGAGTGGGGGCAACTGCATACAACATAGCCCATAGTGGTCTGCAGTCCTCTTGCACAAGACTGCTTGAAATCCTGCTGGTTCTGAAGGCCCTGGAGAATGTCTTTTTGTAGACCTTAGACCTGATTCTCTTTCCATTTGTAGTTCTGCACCTGTATAATTTAACTGGAATCAGTGCAGTTGCACCTGATTCTAGTGGTGTAAAGGAGAGGACAAGTGGATCTCTTCTATGTTCTATAGCTATGGGGCAAGGGGTCCTCCTCTCTGTGGACTCCCTGCTAAGGTTTGATCCTGTAGCCTGAGAACCCCTGCAACAACGTCTCTAGCAGGAGTTGCCCCTTTTATTTTTATTTTTAAATGGGTTCCTTTCAATTCAAAGACTAGCCTGTCCCAGGGCCTAGCTCTGGAATGAATGAATATGTGGAAACTTTATTTTTTTTTCATTCTGCTGTTATGGAAGTAACCCATTTGCAACTCTTGTCTACAGACCGCGCCACCTGTGAAGCATGAATTTTTTTTTAAATGTGTGAAAGAGATTCTCTCATGTAATTGTGCTTTTTTTGTTTTGTTTGGGGTTTTTCCCACTGGTACTTGATCAAATAAACTGGTACTTTCTAAAACTTTTTGTTGTGGTTTTTTTAACAAACAATACCTGGCACTTAGGCCTTACCTGATTCAAATGTGTGTGTAATCTAGTTAAATCCATGCAAACTGTTGTGTGGAGATGCACATTGGTTTAAAACTGGTTATTTGGGTTTAATGCCTGCAAGTCTACTGCCCAGCTAATTGAATAGGTTTAAAACTACACTTCTCGAGCTTGTCTACATGAGGAGTCATTCCTGAATAGCTGCTCCTGATTAACTCCATGTGTGGATGCTCTTATTCCAGAACGAGCACTTTAGTCCAAATTATCTTAATCCAAATTAGTTCACTTTAAATTCACACTTTACCTTATTCCAGATTAACTAAGGGTTTATCTACACATAGAAATTAAACTGGTGCAACTCCAAGAACCTTAGAGCTACTGTTGCCTTCAGGATCCAATGCACCTAGTCAGCCTCTTAGAACCTCATTGCCTGTTCTCTAATAGTGTGAGGCTGCTTAAACACAGCCACTCCATAACCATACGGTAAGGGAAGGCTGCAAAACTGCCTGGCCTAGGGGCTACAGCAAGACTGCTCCCTAGGAGAAGTGATGCACCTTCTACAAGGTGCTATATTTAACTGGATTAGAGCCCCTGTGGGAGTTTTAGGGTATGTCTATGCTGGAAACTTCAAAGTGCTGCTGTGGGAACGCTCCCACGGCAGCGCTTTGAAGTGTGAATGTGGTCGTGCTGGAGAGAGCTCTCCCAGTGCTCCTGGTAATCCAACTCCACAAGGGGATTAGCTCTGAGCCCCAGCACTCGGAGCCTGTCTATACTGGTGCTTTAAAGTGCTCAGACTTGCTGTGCTCAGGGGGGGTGATTTTTCACCTCCCTGAGCCAGCAAGTTAGAGCGCTATAAAATGTAAGGTGTAGACAAGCCCTTATTCCCTTCTAGATGCCCCAGGTGCTTAGTGGGCAGCATTAGCAGATGTCTAGGGAAATGGGATGGGGCTCTCCCATTCAGACTCCTACGTGGTTGTAGCAGAAATGTTTATTTCATTCCTCATTGTTTGCTAATGTTTTATGTCCTGTCTACTAGGCTCTTGAGCAATCTGCTTCTTCTATAAGGCCAATATATCCGCCAACTTCTCTGAATCATGTGTGATGTTTACTCCTCTGGGACTTGCTGTTTGCCGAGGGAACTGAGGCTGATTTATTCCTAGGTTCTCCATGTTCACATGCCTCTTGCTACAGTCATGAGAGGTGGGTGGATTTACTTTTCTGAATAAGCTCTTCTGCCCAGACTTCCTCTTTTTTGAGCTGAGGAAATGGCCTGAACTTTCCAAAGCTTCCACCACAATAGTACCACAGATGAAACAAATAATAATGCAAAAACTTTGTTTTGTAAAGGGAGCGTGGTGGCTTTTGCCCACATCAGTAACCTGGGCCCTGCTCCATTTTCCCCAGTCTCCGGGGAAAGGGCTTTCTCAGACACTGGGTTGAATTTGCAACATCTTGTGGTTGGAGCAAAGTAGCAGAACTCAACTGTTCAGTTCCAGCAGTCACTGCCCTCCAGAGTTTACAGCACAGGGACTCTGTGCATAACAGACTTTAGAAAAAAGGCTGATTATACTACACCTATGACCCATGAGATGTAACTGAATCATTTCACCTGCTGGAACATGAGTGATATAAACCTGCTGCACTTCTTAAAAATAAGTCTATAAAGTCCCACTTCACCCAGCTACTAGTAACTCCAAACCCTCCCAGATTCCAGTCCAGCCAAGTCACATGGCTTTGGGCAGCTCTTACTTACATAAAAACAAAGCTGGCAGGACAAAGTTCAGAGGCAGGCCCCACCACTTGGAATCAACATAACAATTTTTATCCTCTTAATGAGCTCTCTGGTACTCTGAGCTAAAGGTAACCTATGTTTTAATCAAAAAGAAAAATCTGTTCATGTGCTTCCCCAGATGGCCTTAAATATACCCCAAAGTGAAATGAATGTATATCTCATGGGGGGGAGGGGTGTCCCACTTTCAAAAATGTTTCTATTTTGGCATCTAAGGGCTTGTCTACACACCAGTTGTGCCAGTGTAACTTTAGTTAAATCCGTACTCTATTTTGACTGTCATAAGTACTTATGAGCCCCCATTACCATGTATTGTAGCAAGTTTTTGTCCTTGCAATGCTGCTGGCGAATTGTGCCCCACTGCTAAAGCAGGGAAAACTGAGGGTAAGGCCCACCTTTTTTAAAAAAAGGTATGTAGGCACCTAACTCCCATTGACATGGTGTTGATGTATTGCATGTAGCAGGACTGGCTGTGCCCATTGGCTACTTCAAGGCCACAAAAAAAAAAGGGGGCACCCAAAATTTGTTTAAAATCTCATTTTTATGTAATCATGATTTTGGAGGGTGGGGTGTCGGACTCATGATTTTTGATGATGCAGGGTAGGCTAGGCTCTGTGTAAGCTAATGGGGCAGTAGTGTAGCTAGGGGGGTTCAGGGGAAGCAGCCACTTCCCCTCAGTACATTTTTCAAAAGCGGCACCTGCCGGGCCACCGCTGGGGTCCTGCAGGCAAGTGTGTGTGTGTGGGGGGGGCAGCACGGTCAGACACCGGAGGAGCCATGGGGGGGGGGGGCGCACCTCGGCTATCACATCCCATGCTCGGCATGGCCCCAACATCGCGGCCGCCTCCTGCAGTGGCTCAGGGCTCGGCGGCCCAGCGCTCCGCAGCTGGCGGGCAGATCCCCTCTCCCTGGCAGCTTCCTGCTTCTGGGCCGAGGGAAGCAGGAAGCTGCTGGGGAGAGGGGATCTGCCTGCCAGCTGCAGAGCGCTGGGCCACCAAGCCCTGAGCCACTGCAGAAGGTGGCCGTGCTGAGCGTGGGGCACGAGGGCTGAGGAGCCCGGCCGCTTCGCTCCTCCAGCCACACCCGCTGCCCCCCCAAGTGGATCCTCCGGAGTCTGGCCGTGCTGCCCCCCCCTTGCCTGCAGGAGCCCAGTGGTGGCCCTGCAGGCTCCGCTTTTGAAAAAATTGCTGGGCTGCCCGGGTGAGGGAACTAGGAAGCTGCGGGGGAGAGGGGATCTGCCCGCCAGCTGCTGCCTGCCCCACTGCTCTGCTCCCCCCAGCTCTCGGGAGAAGCGAGCAGTGCCCGCCCGCCACCCCTTCCCCCGCGCCGAGCCCCTCCAAAGGGGGGGGGGCGCAGCATGGCCGGAGGAGCCGGGGGGGGTGTGCGGAGCGGCCGGAGGAGGAACCAAGGTGGGGGGACGCCTTTTTTATGGTTGCTCCCCCCTGCACCGAGAAGCTGGCTACGCCACTGGGTGGGATACTCACACCTGCCCCTTCTGAAGCCTGATCTATGCTAGAAAATTAGGTCAGTTTAACATCATCAGTGTGAAAAATCCACATTCCTGAGCAGTGTAGCTAACAGGACCTAAGTCCCTGTGTAGACAGCACTAGGTGGTTAGATATTGGCAGAGTTCTGAGAGACCCTCAGCAGAACTGTCCTTTTGCTCCCAATTGCTGCTTCCATGAGTACAGTCACTGCACTCTGCCAGTCCCTTCTCTTGGGCTGAGCAGTTTTTCAAAAGCCAGTGTTATCGGGATGAAATCTGAAAAGGTTGGGGTGGGAAGCCAGCGCCATCCCTGGGAGACATGAAACTGGCTGCCATGCTACCTTAAGGGAGTGAGCCGCTCCCTCAGGGAGCTGCAGGGACATTCCACAGAGGAAGGAGACACATTGCTTGACCAGGCCCGAAGAGTAGCTAGGAGACTTTTTGTAGCAAAGTTCAAGTGAAAACAAAAAGCCCCTACCGGTCAAAAGAAAACCTGGCAGAGAGACTCCAGGGGTGTGCTGCTGATCACAGCAGAGAGAGGATTCCTGCTCCAGGCAGATGATTTACCAGGGCCCTGCTAACAGAGAGATCTTAGTGCTCAAGAGAGGAGCAGTGAGTTATCCCTGCCCCTGGGCCCAAAGAGAACCCAGGCTGGGCTTTCCCCTCCAGAGAAGGAAGGTAGCAGCTATGTCTACACTTCGGCAGCACGTAGAGTATAGGCACTACATGTATAGCCAAACGCTGGAGGGACAGGTCAGCTGGCTCCACACTTGGATGTGTAGCTATACATTGCATCGGAAAGCTTCAGCCATGGGGAAAGGCTCCAACAGCAGGGAGATGCCAGAGTGTTGTTTCCCTGCTGCCAGAGTCTTTCCCACTGCTGGGACCTTTCACTGTAGTGGGAACATGCTCCTTGCAGCGGGGCGGGAGCAGGCCACTGTACTTCTAAAGAGAGCAAAGTAGCTGTGGGAGGCACTGCTTGGGCATGTAGAGAGCCCTGTGGAGTATATACACTTGCCTAAGCCACGCCTCACCATCTACACTGCTGTTTATGTCCATGTTAGCTGGGCATACAGTGTCTGTACATGCCGCAGTAAGTGTAGATGGACTCAGAGATGGCAAAGAGGGAGGAGGTGCTGGAGGCTAAATATGTGACCTCTGAACAGCCCCAAGGCCAGAGGGACTCTAACCTCCCAGGGCTTTAGTGTAGATGTCACCATGGCACTGGCTATGCAGCTGAAGGGCCTGTGCTGAATGCCCCTGCTGGGGATCTCTGACTGCTACCACTGCCAACACAATTCCCATGTGCTCAGCCTCAGTGCCAGCTGGGGGCTTTGCAAACTAGAGTCACACCAGCCAACCCAATACACATCCTCCTCCTCCACAGCTCAGAAACAACCCTCCGCCCCGGCTGGCTAAAGCACAGAGCTACTGATCTCTTCCTTATCTAGGCCTGTAATTCTATAGCAGGAAAGAGACCCCATACACGCACCAACAGCTGTCTGGCTTTGGGGATAGAGTGTGAGGCAGGGCCAGCTCTAAGTTTTTTGCCGCCCCAAGCAAACCTCCAAGAGCGCAACTGCCGAAGCAAAACCCTCCGAGAGCGCCCGGAATACCACCCCTGAAATTGTGCCGCCCCAAGCACGTGCTTGGTTTGCTGGTGCCTAGAGCCAGTCCTGGTGTGAGGGGAATGGCCTCC